AAAAAAAAGGGGGTCAGCCTCTGGATTTGGGGGCTGGGGGAATGAGTGGGGGGTCTCTCTTCCCCCCCTCCTTGCTTTTGATCCTGGGGGGTCTTTGTTGCCAGATGTGGGGGAGGAGAAGAAGCCTTGGGGGGGCTGTTGATCTTGGATTGGATAAGTGGGGGGAGGAATTCAGGACGGAAAAAAAGGGGGGCGGCCTCTGGATTTTGGGGCGGGGGGGGGAGGCCTCTGTGGGTCAGGCATATGGGTCTTTTTTTCTTTTTAAGGGTCGAGGAAGAGGATGCAATTACAAGGGCCACCCATTCATTCATTCCCCCGCTTGGTTCATTCATGGCATTTCTGCCTTCCTGCTTGCAAAGTCTCTGGATTTGGGGGTGGGGGGGCAGGCGTCTGGGACGTGGGGGGGATGTGGGGGGCAATGCAACCTGGCTCTTCAGGAGGCACGCTGGCTGGAGTTTCGGGGGTGCCCCTAAAAGCCTCTCCAGGGGGGGGGGGGGCGCCGAGGGACTCGGAGACGGAAGCTCTGGCTGATAATGTCCGAAATCAAAAGGTTTCCCTGGGCGCCTTGCCCAGGGTGGAGGCGGCATCCTTGCCAGGCCCTCTTAAATGGTGGTGTGATCGTTTTAGGCAGGAGAATTTTTTGGGGGGAGGGGGGGGCTAAGCCTTTGGCATCCCTGTAAAAGACTGAACAGACCCCCCCCCCTTCCAGTTGTCAGTTCTATTGCAAATATTAGGGGGTCTCTTTCCCCATTTGGGTTATCGAAACAATGCTTGATGTTTTATTATTTTTATGGATTTATTATTTCCTTGCTCTTTAGAAAAGGGGGAAGGGGCTGTGATTTTCTCCCACCCCCAACCAGGAGGGGACTCAGTTTGGAAAGAAGTCGTGAGTGCCAAGGGGTCCAAAACCAATTCTGTGGGTTTTTATGGAGGACCTTTATTTGGGGGTGTCAAGTGTTGGGGAGCGGGGGAGAGACCTGCCTGAGACGGGGAAGAAAACTAGGCCTCGCAGAGCAGAAAGCCCCTCCCCAAAGGGGTCACAAGGGGCTGCCTTGGCAGAGAGATGCTCTCGACAGTCGGGAGAGAGATGGGGGTTCAGGAAGTCCCCCCCCCCAGAAGTGAAGTGGACCCTGGAGAGGAGCAGATGGGGAGAGACTCTGCTGTCTCAAGGACGCCCATCCTCTCGGCGTGAAATGTTGCCTTTAATCCCTCACCCCTTTCTTTTTTGGGTTGGAGGGGGGGACAGAACCCCTAAAGCAGAGAAGAAAGGGGTATCTGGCTCCCTTTGGCTTTGCCAAGCCGGCTTCTCTTCCCTGGACACTCAGAGGGCCGTGGGGTATCTCTCTCCCACCCACCCCCCGTCCCCAAAATTTTTCCCTCTGCCACCCTGAGCTCGGTGGAAAACTCTGAATATTTTGAGTTTTGAGAGTGGCTGCTGGTGGAAGGTCTTTTTTTTGTTCCCTGGATCCTCTCCGCTCTTGTGGATTTTGGCATTTCTTCCCTAGGGGTGGGAGAAGTGGCGTGGGGTGGGGGAGAGTCTTGGCACCCACCCACCCACCCCCGCGCCTCTTTTACACCCGGCCCGCCTTGATGCCTCAACCCACTCGTTGTCGTCCCCCCGAGAAGCCGCCTCTTGTGGGTGGCAAGACGAAAAAGCTGATTGCCTTGGGAAAAGAAGGAAAAAGAGAAAAAAAAACAGGAAGGGGGAGGATTTGTGTGCGTGTGTGCATGTGTTTCCTTGCCCCGGGCCCACCTGGGGCCTGAAAGATCCTCCCCGCCCTCCGGGGTGAACCCCAAAAGCTCGCCGTGTCTCCTCGTCTCCCCCTCCTCTTCCTGAGAGGACATTTTATTCCGGGGGGGGGGGGGGCGGGGGACACATCGCTCCCCGAAGTTGAAGGGTTAATTTTTCTTCTTTGACCGGAGATGGTGGAATTGGCAGGAGGGAGGGGAGGAACACGGGGGAAAAATTGGGGGATTGTCCCCACCTGCTTGGCAGCCCTTCTCCGTGCCCCCCACCCCCTTGGGGACGGCGGGCAGAGCGTCCACCCAGCCCCCAATGAGCTAAAAGACCCCCTCAATTACGAGCAAACCCTGAACGGAGACCCTTGCTCCTTCACCATCCCCAACGGCTCAAAAATGGATCTATTTCCAGAAAGGATCCCAGCCTCATTTGCGCAACAGGCCGGGATTTTTTGGGGAGGGGGGGATCTTTCTATCTCTCCCCCTACCCCCACCCCCACTTCCACCCCAGGGATTCCCTTTATCCCGTTGAATCCGTTTAGGAACCTCCGGCAGGTAGATGGAGAGGAGTAAAAGCCCCTGGTAGAAATTGGTATTATTATTATTATCATTATTATCATTATTATTATTATTATTATTATTATTATGGCTGGAATGTCTGGGCCCCGCCCTAGCCCGTGAGCCGAATGTGGTAGAGTGGTATGCGTGTGCGTGTGTGTTTGTGTTTGCACACACAGCAAATTGCAGAGGTGGGTGCTAAAAGGTTTTTTTGGGGGGCCAGGACGCTCCTTGGCCTCCAGCTGTTTCCAGAGGTTCCATGCAAATCTCGGCAGGGGAAATAAATTTTAACTTGGCTTATAGAAATGGGGGGAGCCAGGAAAAGTTTTATTTTGATCTGTTTTCTGGGGGGGGGGGCGGCTGCCTTGTGTGTCCGCCCCCCCCCCCCCCCCCCCCGTTGGGCAGCAGGGAGGCCGACCTTGGGGGGGGGGGTCTCTTTTCCTGACGCCCCCATCTTCTCTTCTGCTGAATGGACCAGTCGCGCGGGGGGTCCTCAGCCGCACCATTTCCGCGGACTTGAGCGTGAGACGGGCGTGAAGTGAGCTTTGTCCCCTTTTACGACCTCCCTTGCCCCGTTCAGTGCCTTTACGGTCATAAGTCACGTCCGTTGTAGAAAGAGGGCCACCCCACTGCAATCGACGGTCCGGTTGAGTTGCTAATTTTCCTCCCTGCTATCTAATTGGCATATTTCCCCCCCCTCCCCAATTTGGGAGGGGGGGTGCAGGTTGACCCCCAGATTAGCAATCAGTCAGCACGGACTGATCTCTCTCTCTCTCTCTTTTAGCTTCCTGAAACAAGAAGGGTTTTGAGAAAGAATACTCCGAATACTCAGCTCAACTTTTGCCGGCTCCTTTAAAAAAAATAAACCTCTTTATGCCGGCATAAGTGACTATCTCCGTGCCAACTTAGGCCGGACTAGGACAACGAAGCTGCCGGGGGTTCGGCAGCCCCACTAAAATTAAATTGGAAATAAGGCCTCCCCTCATTTGACAGAAAGAGAGAGAGAGAGAGAGAGAGAGAGAGAGAGAGAGAGAAAAAAAACGCAGCCTATCCAGGTAGTCCTCAACTTAGGGCCACCACGGAGCCCGAAATGTATCTTGCTCAGTGAGACGTTGTGTTAAAGGGAGCCTTGCTCCATTTTGCGACTTTCCTTGCCACGGTTGTTAAGTGAATCTTAAGCTGGGAGCGCGGTTGTTAAGTGAATCTTAAGCTGGAACCGCGGTTGTTAAGCGAATCCGGCTTGGCTTGGCTTGTCAGAAGGTCACAGGAGCCCCTGCCCGGGGTGGGGGGGAGGAAGAAGAGCCTGCAACGGTTGTAAATTTGAACCAGCTGCCAAGCATCCAGGGGTGACTCGGGTGGCCATAGGGATGCTGCCCCAGTCATAAGCGTGAGAAACGGTCTCAAGTCCCTCTTTCCAGCGCCGCTGCAACTTCGAACAGCCGCTAAACGAACCGTCGTCGGTTGAGCACTACCTGTAACCTCCTGCGGCTCCTTCACCCGCCGTAGAGCCTCCCTGCCACGCGTTGCAGGTTTTCTCATCCTTGCCTTTATCGCTGCTTTCACCTACCTGGATCCCTTATGGCAAGCCAGGTTAGACCAGCATTATCCTAAAGGAGCCATTTCCCCCCCACCTTAGCAATGGGGCAGGGCTTCTGTGTGTGTGTGTCCCCCCCGCCCCCCCCCTGGGGGCATCCCTGGAGATCGGGCCACGGACAGGCTGACCCCCATTGTCTGCCGCGCTTCCTGTCCGCTTCCCATCCAACAAGGCAAAAGGCACTAGTGCTTCCAGATGTTCCCAGCCCGCCAGGAGGGGGGCCAATTAGACACACATCTGGAAGCGGAGAGATTTCCCCCTCCTCCCTCGCCAGGGAACAGGGGAGAATTATCACTTTTGATTTTTTGGCAAGCAGGAGGATCCCCGTCCCATCCCAGACCAATGGCTGCCCAGTAGGAAGGAGACGATGGAAGGATGGATGGATGGAAGGAAGAAAGGAGATAATGGAAGGAAGGAAGGAAGGAAGGAAGGAAGGAGATGATGGATGGATGGATGGATGGATGGATGGATGGATGGATGGATGGAAGGAAGGAAGGAGATGATGGATGGATGGATG